TGACTGAATAAAAACAGAAAACTAACTGACCTGAAAATAAGAGGTAAAAAGTAAGCACATTAAAGAGAGGATCACAGACAGGAGAATGTCTAACATAAACACATGGCCAACACAAAGCTTGCAAGACAGAGGAAACTGAGACATTATATGCACAAAACATCAACCAGCCAGCAAATTATGGAGCTATTGAAATGTTAATCTAAAATAAATTTTAAAAAATATACCTACTACAAAAACACTGCCTGCTGGACTGAAAAATTAATTTACATTAAGAATAAATTTAACGTTATTCAATAAAATCAAGTTGATAAAAAGGAAATCAGTTAAATAACTTTTATAACACAAGTTTAAAAGCTGTAGTTGGCAAAATCAATGAAAATGGTGAGTAGGAACTATAAAAACTTATCTCTTTAGTAAAAGTTATGCAAATAAGCATTTAGGAATTTTCAGACCTCCAAAAATTCATCATACTTCCAGCAATCTAGGAAACATTAATTCAAGGTAACTCTCTCTGTTATGAGTTGAATTGTGCCCCCTCCAATTCACTCACATGCTGAAGCTTTAATCTCTAGTACCTGAAAATGTAAACTTATTTGAAAGTAATCTTTACAAAGGAAGTAAAATTAAAATTATTAGGATGGGTCCAAATCCAGTATGACTGATGTCCTTATGAAAAGGGAAATTTGGACATGCCAGTACAGAGGGAAGACAACATGAGGAGGTGTGGGAGAAGACAGTTATCTACAACCCAAAGGAAGAGCTCCAGAGCAGATGCTTCCCTCAGCACCCAGAGGAAATCCTACCAATACCTGCATCCAGAACAGCGAGACATTTCTGTCATATAAGCCACCTAGCCTGTACTGTTCTGTTACAGCAACCCTAGCAAACTCATATACTTTGTAAAAACAGTGACCTTGTAGCATCTCAACCTGCCCTGTTCCTATTCCCTTTCCTCAGCTCTGCAGCAGGCTTGAAATCAAAGTTTGCTGGAAAACCAGGAGCCCGGCAGCCACTGGAGAGAAACAGACAGGGTTAGAATGCCTTTAAGTCCTCCTTCCAAAGAACTATCATTATTGGACCTGCTCAGCAGTTTTTTGAAAGATCCTATTCCCAGGCTGCTTTTTACTTGACTTCATGACAGCCTAACAGAGGGGGTTCAATTGGGGAAAGCACTAAATTAACCAAAAAGCTTAAGAGAAAAGACTGGTGAATGACATTCCCTTTCTCTAGGAAAAATTCTGACACATTCCCACAGAACTTTTCCACAGAAAGTTCTAATACACTCCTGAGAAAATGGAAGGCCACCTGCATGCCCAGGACAGTGTGCATGCTAAGGCCACCAGGTGGCTTCAAGTTCTCACCTCTGAGGTTCTACACAGCATAAAGCAGAAGCTAAAGTAGAACTGCCCACTGCCCAGCTAAAAGTATGCAGAAGCATCACAGAGAGACCCAGGCAAAGACTAAAGGACTAACTGGTGCCAGGTATTTAATGAAATTGCTGTGTAACATTAGCTGCAGTTAATTGAACACAGACTTCACTGGCTATACATGATAAAGAATACACGATAAAGAATACATGATTTACAGAATTAGTTCAGAAAAGTCATTAACAAATAAATTGAGTAAATAATCACAAAATCATATCCTGGGAAGGAGAAAGAAACTTATTTATAGAAACACTATCCTATACTTTTTGGAGTGTCCAGTTTTCATTGGAAAAATAAGATATGCAAAGAAAAAAAGAGTTATGACCATATGAATAGAAATAAGAGAGTAAACAATTACAGAAGAATCATTAAGTTTAAAGATAAGTCATTTGTGAATTATCCAGTCTGGAAATCAGAAAAAAATGAATAAAGATAAGCGAATAAAGATGCAGAGACATGAGAGAAATCATCAAGCATACCTGCATATTGGTAATGAGAGTCATAGAACAAATGGAGAGAAGGGGACACAAAGAATATTTGAAAAAATAATAAGAAAACCTTCCCCAAATTGTAGAAAAATATGAATGTACAGAGATCCAAGAAGTTCAATGAACTTCAGCTGGGTTAAGCTGATCTACCACAGTCATGCCAAAATCAATCCAAGTCCACAGGCAAAGAGAGGTTCACAAATGCAGCAAGGAGAAGCAACTAACCACACACATGACCCTCAGTTAATAGCTTCTTTGTAATTAGAAACCATAATGAAATAGAATACATGAACAGACCTAAAACACATGAAGTAATTAAATTAGTATTTGAAAACTTCCACAAAGTCCAGCACCAGAAGGATTTACTGGTGAATTTTACCCAACGATTCAGGTAGAATTAACGATAATTCTTCACAAACTCTTTCAAACAATAGGAGAGAAGACATCCCCACTTCTTCTGTGAAGCCAATATTACCCCTCAAACCATACTCAAACAAGGATACTATAAGAAAACTACAGACTGATATCCCTTATGAATAAAGACATAAAAATCCTCAAAACACTAGCAACCAAATCCAACAGCACCATAAGAAGGACTTTATATCACAGGCAAATGAGATTTATGCCATGAATGCAAGGTTAACTCAAAACTCACAGAATATAATGTGTCATATTCACAGAATAAAGGACAAAAGTCAAATGATCATTTCCACAGATGCAGGAAACATATTTGACAAAATCCAATTCCATTTCACAATAAAAGCACACAAGAAACCAGGAACAGAAGGGAACTTCTTCAACCTGATTTAAAACGTGTAAAATACTCACAGTTTGCATCATACTTAATGGTAGAAACTGAAACCTTTCCCTTCTGCTAAGCTAAGATCAGGAGCAAGGCAACAATATTTTGTTATCATCAATACTGAACTGGAGGGTCTAGCTGAAGTAACTTGAAAGAAAAGAAGACATTCAGATTGGAATGGAAGAAATATATTTGTAAATGTCATGATCTTCTATATATAAAATCCTAAAGAATCACCCCCACAAATAATAAAACATTTAGCAATTTAACAAAAGAAGTGTAATATGTACATTGAAAACTATAAAACAACAGGAAGAGAGAGCAGACTTAAATAAATGAAAGGTATTTGATATTCATGGAATGAAAAGCTAATTATTGTTAAGGTCAATGCAATTCCTATTAGAAGCCCAATGGACTTTTTGGAAGACACTCAGATTCTAGAATTAACACAGAATTCCAAGGGATCCAGAGTAGCTGTAACAATCTTAAAAAGAACAACATTTAAGGACTCACAATAATTTCAAAACTTATTGCAAAGCAACAATAACAAAGACAGCAAGATATAAGCATATGGATAAACATAGAGACCAGTGGAATAAAATGTATATCCTATAAATAAACCCACACAACTGTGGTTAGTGCTTTTTAATAAGGTACCAAGACAGTTTAACAAAGAGAGAATAGCCTCTTCAAAAAAATGGCACTAAGACAAATGGATAGCCATATGCTAAAGAATCAGTTTGACCATAAGCAAAAATTAACTCAAAATAGATCAAAGACCTAAATGTATGAGCTAAAACTATGACACTCTTATAAGAAAAAAATTGATGGCAATTGCTTAGATTTAACACCTAAAAGCACAAGGAAAAACAGACATTGGACTTTATCAAACTTTTAAATGTGTGTTCCAAAAGACACATTAAGAAAGTAAAATGACAGTAGGTATGGTGACATGCCTAAAACGCCAGCACTGAGGGTATGGCAGAAGAACTGTCAGATTGAAAGTGAAAACACATTCCACACAATGGAAGAAAATATTTGTGAATCACAGTTCTAATAAGGGTCCAACAGCATAACACATAAAGTACAACTCAACAAAAAAAACAAATAGGCAAAGGAAGAGAATAGGCAAAACTTTATGCTAAAAGATACCTATGAAGCCCAAAAAAAGAGAGTGAGCACAACATCATTAAGTCATTAGGGAAATACAATACAAAACCACAATGAGATACCACTGCACACACATACTAGAATGGCTATAATAAAAAGAGCTGGACAATAGCAAGTACTGGTATGACTGTTGGGAAATCTGAACTTTCATACACTGCTGTTGTGAAAGCAAACTAGTCCAAGCTCTTTGAAAAACAGTTTGCAGCTCCTCAGAATGTTAAACACATAATTATCATTTTTCCCAGCATTCCTACTCTTAAGTATATATCCAAGAGAAGTGAAAACATAAAGCACAACATTATTCAGCCATAGAAAGGAGTGAAGTAACTTATATAACCTACAGCATAGATGAACCTCAACAGTATTATACTAGGTGAAAGAAGCCAGACAGAAAAGGCCTCACTTATGCCCATGACAGACAAATCTAAACAGAATGTCAATCAGTGGTTTCCAGGGACTGAAGAGTGATTGCTTAATGAGTAGTGTTTCTTTTGAGGTGATGAAAATGTAAGATTAGATAGTGGTGATGGTTGTGCAACCTTGTCAACACACTACAACAACCGAATTATACATGTTAAAGGAGGAATGGCATGGCAAATGAATTTACCTCAATAAAAAATGCAAAGAAGTTGTAGCTGCTATGCTTCATGAGACCACCATAAAAATATTATAAACCCCAAATCTCTGAGATACGTAGATCCCATGTGAAAAATATTTTAGCATATTTAAAATGCCCACATTTATCATTACAGCTAGCGTTTCATAATAACAAGCAAAAACACTATAGACAACCTTAGCTAACATTTAGAAATTACTATTACTTGTACACTTAAGCAGCTCTAGCACACAGAATTATCCCTGGATGACTCGAACTATATGAAACAACTGCAAGTCATTTCTACATAGCACAGGCTGCTCTTGCCTCAGCCTAATGAGTGCTGGGATTGCCAGGTGTGCGGCACCATACACAGCTTTTAATTCATTTCTGCAGATGGAAGGCAGACTTTAGGAACTAGGATAATTCAGGAACATTAGTCTTTTGGACAAGACTATTCAAATTTAAACAAATACTAATAATTTTCTTAAAATTACTGAAAATGTTTTTACAAATACCTGGAAAATTTACAGATCCCACTATTTTCACCGTATCTTGAGTCAAGCGAAAAGCTCTTGGTAATCGAACCAAATATCCAACTGTGAGACAAAAAGAAAACAAATGATCAACAATTTGCCTCATTAGAAATTTCAAAATACTAAAACAGTAAAGTATCATAGTATATTTGATCTCGCCTCCAAGGAAGAACCAAAAGTCAGTCTCCTCTCACATCTTGTATCTCTGTTCCAACTCTCAGTCTGTTCTAACACCCTAATGAGTTTAGTCTACCTACAGCTTCGCCATATTGTATTTCACCCTGTATTTCTGTATCAACTCACAACAGTTTCTTTTACTTTTAAAAGTCAAAAAATCTGAACCTGTAAGACCCAAATCACAATTCTCTCCTCCTTCAAGGCTCCTGTTTCTCCATACTTCTCACCTTACATAGTACATCACTTGCACCTCTCTTACAACTCACTCTACGTTTGAATAGAGTCATTTACACACATATATCATTTTCCTCATTAGATTATAAATTTCATTGGTGGAAGCATCAGTGGTTATGTCAACTTATCAAGAATGAATATCAAGCACTATACCTTGCACACAGAAACGATTAATTGTAAAATATACTCTGACATTCTTCATTCATCATTGAATGAACATATTGATGGACATAATGTTGAGAACAGAATGAGAAAAGCAACATAAAAGTGCAATTATTAGCCAGGCGCCTATAATCCTAGCTACTCAGGAGGCAGAGATCAGGAAGATCAAGGTTCGAAGCCATCCAGGGCAAACAGTTCACGAGACCCTATCTTGAAAACACCCATCAATAAAAAAAAGGCTGGGGTAGTGGCTCAAGGTGAAGACCCTGAATTCAAGTCCCAGTACTGCAAAAGATAGTGTAATACTCTAAAATCATTATACCCAAATAACCTTAACAGTGAGACAACAGAGTACAAATAAAAGAGCATGGCATTAAAAGCTAGATGATCTGAGTTTAAATACAAATTCTGCCAATTATCGGCTTTTATGTAAGTCACTTTAAACTCTAAGAGATTCACTTTCCTCATCTGCAGAATGGGACCAAGAATACTACAAGCCTTGTAGAGCTATTGCAGAAAATGAGTGTAATACTGACTGCTTATCCTACTTAGTACACCCTCACAGGTCTACTCACTACTGGAGAAAAAAAAAAGCCAGGCAAGATTTTAAAATGAAAACACAACTCTTAGTAAGTAGGAATAAGACCATGAACCATATTCAAAAGCATCTTTCTCCAACGGGACAATTACAGAAGAACAATCTTTGCTTCAGATGCCTGGACTTTGTTTCTCCCATAATCTCCAACTCACTCCATTTCTTTCCTTTTTTCACCCTATCTCATACTTATCGCCACACTTTCTTCTACATTTATATTCCTGAAGAACGTATTTTTTTTCATTCTCTGTTACTTGAACAAGTTTTAGCGTCTGAAACATGTGTCTTCTGCACTTTTATCAACTGTGGCAGGAATTTTATGTTCTAGCAAATCTAGAATTCGAACACAAAATAATGCAACCAAAAACCTTTCCAGTTAGATAACAATTCGACTAAACTCTTCTTTCTTCAGCGTTTGTCTCAGACTATCTTAAGTATATTTTTGAACTCTCAAGGAAAAGTCAAACATTTTTTAAAAGCTCAGTATAATATGCATTTTATATCTAAAACCAATAGATGGAGCTCCACCATTAGGGAATAGTTTAAAATCAGCAGGTGGCCCATACGTTAATTTATGTATATACATATATATATTTCAACATATAAAAAGTTGGCAAATGGCCCATGGACTTCATTAAGGAGTTTATTAAGCAAGTGAAAAATCTTAAAAATTTTCAACTGTGAATGATGGGTGATGTCACCCATGATTAATTCTTCCGTTGCTCTCTCTTCAGTGCACACGTAGTTATTTTCTACGGCGAAGAGAATGAACCTCTGTCGTCAGGCATTAGTGGGAACAGTGTGCCTTTTAAAACGGGGTGCACGTGACACAGAGACAAGCAATTCTCGAGGATCCACGGCTGCCCAGCAAGGAGCTCCCTGCCTGGATGGCGCCGACGCTCACCTGACGGGGGCGCCCGCAAGACAAAGGCGGCGACGAGGAGGAGGATGGCTGCCCGGAAGAGCCCGGAGGAGCCCACGGCCCGAGCCAGCCGCCAGCCCCGCCACGCCCGGCCGGGGGCCGAAGCCTCCATTCACACGCCGCCGTCGCCTGCCAACACTTGACGCAGAAGGTCGTTACCAGGCGCGCGCCCACCCGCCGCCGGAAGTTGGCGGGCGGCGGACCGGAAGAACGGACCTGACGGACACGTCGCCACTTCCGCCGGAGCTATAGTGTTTAGCAGTGTGTTGGTCTCCGACGCCCTGGGGAGGGAGGAATTCCCACCCACACCACACACGCGCCACCGCGCGCTTTCTACTTTCCTTTGCGCATCCCATGGACGTTTGTGTCAACACCCGCACTCTGGGAATCCTCCTGAAGAATATAAACAACTTCTGGAAGGTTCTGGAGCGAGGAGAGGAGCCTTCGGGCCCCAAATCCGCAGCTTACCGTTGAAGTGGCGTTTGTGGGCAGAGGGAAGGCCGTGTTTATAAGGCGGTAGTTGACTTGAGTCTCAGCCTATGGGAACCAACTCTGAGCAACAGATAATGAGAATTTATGAGTTAATGCAAGTGCCACGCTCCTAGAGTGCCTGGATCTAGTCATGTCAACGTCTAGTACGTTATCAATGGGTGAAATTTACAGGAAGATAAATGCAGTTGCACACCTACAGGGAATTTAAAGGAATGCCTTTAGCTCACTAGAGGGACAGAAGAAAAGAATGTAGACGAAATTGAGTTTTAAGGAAGATCATCTTTCATTACCTCAGTTCATAGAAAAACATGCAAAACCACTTATTGGCTTAAAAGGTTTTTTATGATAAGACGTGTTTTAAGGAAATTGAAAGAATCATGCCTCTGTTTTTCTGCTTCTGGAAGGATCTACTTAGGATAACAGCTGTAATAGAAATACATCATACATGATTGGTGTAAGTACATTGAAGAAGTTTCAACAACTAAAGACACTGCCTAACAAAACACACTTTGTCTCCTTTAATATGAATAAATGAGTGATAGTGGAGTAAAAACGCTGTTTATATAATGTTTTGGATATACTATGTCAGGGATTTCAAACTAAGAGCCTAACCATCTATTTCAACCTTCCCTCTTGTTTAGTACTATAGCTCAAGGTTTCAATGATTTTAGTGGCATAAGCATTCTAGTTTCACCAAACAGATATCTTAGCCCCTTGCTGTCTTACAGTTGGCCTTGCTTTTCTGGAATTTTGTCTGGCTTGCATTTTTTTGTTTCATTAAGAATAGTGTGAAGTTATACAGAAAATCGAATGTTTAGAATTCCTTTGACAGCAGTTTTCATGCAAGCACAAATTATCTGGTTGAAGAGTTTTTAAGTGAAGTGATATAATAATTTAAATGAGATCTTGTTTTTCAAGCAGGCTAATAACAGATATCTTGTTACAGTTTCTCAAAATAAGGCTAAACTCTTAATTCTGAATATCGTGGTAGTATTAAGAGAGGCATTGGTAATTTAGGACATATAAAAGGTAAACCTTTGACTATAATTTGTGAATTTCCTTCCTTAAAATTAGATACAAGCTTAGCGTAATATATGCCATTTTTTCAGTACATTTAAGTTATAACACTTAGATAGCAAATGTTGTAATTTATTATATTTATCAGGTAAATACTTTGTTGTAGCCACATAAATATTTTTAAATATTTTGTCACAAGATCAACTGCCTTTGCACCTTGAGTATTATTTTAGCCATAAAATACCAACTTTGGGAAAAATTTAAAAATAATTCAAGTTGAATTTCCTCAGAATTGGAAAGGAAAATACCACAAGGCTATTTTGCTGTTATTATTAATGTTGTTTTTCCAAAAAATTACTCTTTTTTTCCCATATGGGAGATTCACCCAGGGCCACACATATGCTCTACCACTTGAGCAATGCCTACAGTCCTGTTTTTCCCAAGAATTACATTATGATGTACATAATAAAAGAATTGATGTGTTAGAATTCTAGCTGGTGCCAAGCAACAAGGGCTCTACTTTTTTTCTGTTCTTTTACTTCTCTATCCTTCCTTTGATGGAAAAAAAACATTTTTTACTTTAACAAAAAAAAATCTATTCTGCCAGCACGTACAAAGCAAAATCAATAATTTTATGCTAAATCAATGCTTCAATTACTGGAAATATGAGGTTTTTTTTTTAAGTTAAAAAGAGTCATTGGAAGAATTTAATTTACTGCCCTCAAAATTTATAAAGAGAAAAACCATGGATATGGAAGTCCAGTACAAACCTGGAAAGATAAGTATCCCTAAAAGATCCATCTTTTCAGGAACAAAGGCATTTGAGAATATAGATTTCCCACACTACTGTGATCTCTTAAGACAAATGAACATGCCTTTTGTGAAAGGATTTGAGGACAGACATGACTATGGCAGATTTGAAAAGAAATGCAGTCCTACCTGTCTTAAATTTCATCCTTACCCCCCTTCTGTCCTACCAGACTACCATTTGCATTACCCCTACCCCCCACCGTATGGGCCAGATTATCCATTATTTCCTCTTCGGGATGATGTGCCTTTGGTTGATCCCTGTTCAGGGTTTATAAGTCCGGGTTGTGATGCTGATTTAAAGCCTGGCATTGGCAGAACCATACCAAGCCTGGTAGATTACAGTGATGTGAAACCTCAAAATCGAGTTCCTAGACCAGGCACAGGATTTCAGACAACAATAAAAAGGCAGATGATTCTATCAGAAGAAATGCAACAGGACAGGAGGTGGAATTCCAGGCAAATACCAGACATTTCCATCAGAGCAAGACTTGGAGGTAAAGAAAGTGACATGGTCTTTATGTGTGTTAGATACTCCAGTGAGGCAGTAGAGCATAGATACAAGATTTAGAATTGTAACTATTAGCATAAAATGATAAGGAATAGGATATTGTTTTCAAACATTTTTAGTATATAATAGCTGTACAGGGAGTTTCATTGTGATATTTCTATATATGCATATAATGTACCTCGATTTGGTTTGTCACTTCTGTTATTCTTCCTCTCCCGCTTCCCCTTTTTAAAATGACTTCTATGGGTTTCAGTGTTCCATTTTCAAACGTGTAGAAAATGCATCAACCAGATTCATCCTTCTTTACCCTCTTTTATTTTTAACTCAGTCTCCCACTTGCTAGGCAGGCACTCTACCACTTGAGCCACTCCACCAGTAACACTCATATTTTAATTGAAGATTTTTTTTTAAAACCATATTAAGTCGTATAAACCCACAGGTAAAAACAGATTTAGTTACAAAATATGATTAATTAGTTTATGTGACCAACACAGAGTGTATAACATAATTCTAGATATACAGAGGATGTATGTATCACATTGATAATTATATTAAAGTCAGGTTACAAGGACTAAAATGAAAAGGAAAATTTTGTGGTCTAGTAAAAACACGATCTGAAGACATAAATAGCTCCACAGTCCTGATGGCAGGCTTACTGACCCCTTACTTCCATGTGATCCACTTGGTTTCTCTGAGAATGCCACTTGATCACATACCTGGTCCCAGAAGTGATGAGAAGTACCTCCAAAGGAAAACCACAGGAAATATCTCCTGTACGGAAGATTGCCTGACAGGTGGAGAGTGAAGGAAGATTAACATCTTTGAATATGTGTAAAGGAAAAGGCCATATGCTGCAGCAGGAGGTGCTTGGCTTGGTCTAGAATCAGAGACTAGAATGCTTCCACAGAGACTGGAACCCTTCAACACCCAGTCATTGACCACGGGGAAAAGGAAGAAAATGTGTGAAGGAAGTGTGAGGCCACTATGTGTTGGGGCAGTAGTTTTCTGCCATTCCTCACTGGAGAAAGATCTTAGTCCGTAGAGACCAGGAAGAAGTTAAGAATAAAGGAAAAGATAATAAAAATGAAAAGCCCACAAATAACTCTCCACAGTCCCACCCTCCAGATATTTTTAAGCCAGAAGGAAGAATTTGAAGAAGTGTAAACATAGAATGAAAGTTACGATTTTTAATTTGCATTCTAGTTATGGCCTGAGTATGTGACCTTCAAGAAGTTCCTGAGTTATAGAATTTTCACATAAAGAGTGTTAATGAGGCTCTCCAACCTTTTTTAGGAGTTAATTATTTTATAATCCACTGGAATTACTGTCGAGGGAAATCTGATGTTACTTAGGACCAAACATATTTGTATCTACAAATGACAAATACTATCTTAAGTGGCAGAAATATTTAAATATCAGCCAGGAGGGAACCACTAAGGAATGCAGATTTCCCAGTCTTACCAAGAAAGGAGCTTTTGCTCAATCTTTGATAAAATCTCCATGCATAATGGTATACTTATTGTGAAGAATACCTCATTAAAAGAACTAAAATTCTCATTTTTGGCAAGTATGCTATTTATCTTATAAGCAGAAATCATTCTGTTATAATTTTAAAGACAACATTGTTAGTTCTTATAAATTCCTTTCAGAGTGGACTCTTAAAACATCATTTCAAGAGACTTTTCATTGAGGAAGTGGTTTATTATAGCTATCAAGTTACCTAAATTATGTTAACAGACTTTGCCACACCAATTTAGAACCAAGCACAGGACTCATTTCTGTGTATTTTACTGCCTGAATCAGCACAACAGGAATAGAAGTATAGATTCTAGGGTCATGACTGCCTGGGCTCAAATACTAGCAAGAGCATATTTGTTGTACATGGCTACTTATAATTCTCTTTCTGCATGTGCATCCATATTTATACAATCCACATAATATAATTCCTAGCTTTATAGTAAGGGCTATTTGATATGAGTCATGGAAAAATATCTGACATGGGCCAACTGTGATTGCTCAGCTATTCATGAGTTAGAGATTGGAAGACTGCAGATTTTATAACAGCCTGGGTGAAAAACAAGTTAGTGAGACCCTATCTCAAAAACAGACCAGACATGGTGGTGCATGTATGTAATGCCAAGTACATGGGAAATAGAGGTAGGAGGTTCCTGATCCAAGTCCAGTCCTGGGCAAAAGTGCCAGACTATATCTGAAAAATAAAGCACAAAGGGTTTGTGGTATGTTGGAGCCCCTGCCTAGCAAGCACAAGGCTCTGAGTTCAAACCCAGTACTACAAAGAAAAAAAATGTATATATGACATGAGGGAAGGAACCAATAAGGCCAAGTAGCATAAAATTAAGGCCAGAGTTTTCAGTTCTTCATACATAAACTGAGAATAAGAGTATTTCTCTTACACAATTGTAATAATTAAATTAAGACATGTAAAATGCCTGGAAGAATTTCTGGAACCTGATAAAGTATTTTGTTACTAATAGCTATTATTGTAATCTATTAACGGTCACAGAGTAATACTTCAGGGTTGGGGATTGGTTCTATCTAATTTGTCTTAGTCTTTCAATGACTTTGTAGATCCTAGAAATAATTATTAATTATAAGTGCTAAGTAATTTCAGATTTTAGCAAACTTAATACACATTATTTCCAATACATTCTGATTCCAGGATGTTCAGTGGACATTCACAAATACTAAAAGAGATCGTGAAAGATTTTGTTGCTGATTTCTCTTTCCTGTTCCAATCCTGTCTTGTCCTTTAACTGAGTCCATTGTTTCCTTTTTTGTTCCTGCTTGGTTCTCTTAATCATCTACCAGTAAGAAATTCTAAACTTGTCCTCATTATATTTAAATCCTTGATTGAAGTCTGCCTCCCATTGTCACAAATAAAATAGAGTTGTTTATTGTCATCTCCTTGATTTTTTTCTCCCTTTGGCCTCCTGATAATAGTATTTATACGTCTTTATGTATCTATCATTTTTTTAACCATTGTCTTAGGCCAGGTTTCTACAATAAAATACCAAATAGTGGCAGGCTGAAGCAACAGACATTTATTTCTCACAGTTATAGAAGGAAATTAAAAGTCAATGAGTCAGGAGATTCAGTTCTTAGTGAGGACCTTCTTCCTGGGTTCTTAGATCTGGAAGGGGAGAGGATAGGGTAGAGAGGAGAGAGGGAACTGAGGAGGGAAGAGGGAGAGGGAGGTGGAGTTTTTTTTTGTGGGGGAGAGAGACTGAAATAGAGATTGGAGATAGAGCTACTTGGTCTCTCTTCCAAAGAAAACACTGGTCCCATCATGGGGGCCTGGCCCCCTTTACCTCATCTAAATATAATTAGTTTCTTAATATCCCACCTTCAACTGACATCATATCAGGGGTTGGGGCTTCAACATAAAAATTTTGGAGGGACACAAATAATGTCCCATAACAATCATTTCAAGTGTATATTTCATTAAGTATTCTGTGCATTCACATTGTGAAACTGTAGTGCTATTTGTCTCTAAGACTCACTTCATGTTGCAAAACTGAAACTCTATCCACTAAACAATGACCCCCTATTTCTCTCCTCCATGTGGATTCTAGAAACCACCATTATGTTTTCTGTCTGTCTAAATTTGACTACTTTCATTTTCTCATATAGGTGAAATCATACAGTATTTGCTTTTTTGACTGGCTCATTTTACTTAGTATAATGTCTTCAGGGTCTATGGGTTATGTAGCATGTGTCAGAAATGCCTTCCTTTTCAAGGCTGAATGATATTCCCTTTAATGTGCATACCACACATTATCCAGTCACCCATTGATGGACAATTTAGATGCTGCACTTTTAAGTTATACTGCTATGAACATGGTTTTAAAGATTTCTTTTTGACACCTTGCTTGGTTATATAACTGAGATATATAAATCTTGAATCATATGATTATTCTATATTTAATATTTTTGGTGATGGCCATACTATTTTCCATTGTGCTGAAAAATTTTACCTTCCCTCCAAAAGAGTACAGGAAATAAATTCTACTGCACCATGGTGTATAATTTCTTTAATGTATTATTAATTTCTGTTTTTTTACGTTGTGTTTAGGATTTTTGTGTTGATATGCATAAGGGACACTTGGAACTTTCTTTTCTGATGGTGTCGTTGTCTGGCTTTAACATTAGGGTAATGTTAAACTCATAGAATGAATTTGGGATTCCCTCCTCTTCAATATTTTGAAAGAGTGTGAGGAAGACTGGTGTTAATTCTTTCAGTGTTTTGTGGAATTCAACAATGAAGCCATCTACTCCTAGGCTTTTATTTCTTTTGAGCTTTCTTGTTTTCCTTTATTACTGATTCAATCTCCTTACATACTTATAGGTCTGTTGATAGTTCTACTTCTTTCTTGTGGGGACTGGGGATACTGGGATTTGAACTCAGGACTTAATACTTGCTAGGCACTTGGGCCATGCTGCCCTTTTATTGCTCTGGTTCTTTTAGAGACAAGATCTCGCTTTTTTGTTAGTTTGTTTGTTTTGTTTTGCCTGACTATCCTGGACAATGATCCACCTATTGTAGGCTTCCCATCCTAGCTGGGGTGACAGGTGCATGTCACCATGCCCCCATCTTTTTTCTGATGAGATGGGGGTCACACAAACTTTTTTGCCCAGTCTGGACTAGAACCATGATCTTCCCAACTGCAACCTCCCATGTAACTTGGGATGACAGGCACTCGCCACTGTGCCCAGCTATTGGTTGAGATAGGATCTTGCACACTTTTGCCTGGGCTCAATTAGAACCTCATTACTCCCTGCTTCAGCCTCCCCCATACCTGGAATTGCTTTCTAATTCTTTATGATTCAGTTTTAGTAGATTGTGTGTTTCTAAGAATTTGTCCATTTCATCTAGGTTATCCAGTTTGTTGGAGTACATTTGTTCATATTGCTCTCATAACATTTTGTTTCTGAAAACTCAATTGTAATGATTCCTCTTTCATTTCTAGTTTTGGTTATTTGATTAATCTCTCTTTGTTTCTTAGTCTAGTTAAGTGTCAATTTTGATGATATTTTGAAAGGACCAACTTTTGGTTTCATTAATTTTTCTCTATTTTTGTTTCTGTTTTTCCATTTTGTGGGTACATGCTCTAATCTTTGTCATTTCCTTCCTACTTCTAAGTTTCAGATTAGTTTGTTATTTTTTACTTCCTTGAGTTTTAAATTTTTTTGAGTTTGTTTAAGTTCTTTCTGCTATCTTAATTGGATATTTATTACTGTGGACTTGCCTTTTAGTTAAGCTTTTGCTGCATCCTGTAAATTCTTGGTACTTTGTATCTTTATTCTCATTTACCTCAGGTACTTTATAATTTTCTTTTTCACCTCTTCTTTGATCCAAATAAGACTTTTGTTTAAGAGTATGTTGTGACTGGCAGATTTACACAAGCCTCAAGGCACCTGCCTAGCAAGCATGAGGCCCTGAGTTCAAACCCTAGTACCACTGGAAAAAAGAAAAGAGTGTGTTGTGTAATTTTCACATATTTCTGAATCTTCCCACTTTCCTTCTACAGTTGATTTGTAATTTCATACCATGGTGGTCAGAAAAGTTACTTAGTATGATTTCAGTTTCAAATTTAGTTAGACTTTTTTTGTGAGATCCAACATGTAATATATCCTGGAGAATGATCTTTGTATCCTTGATGAAAATGTGTATTCTTCTGCCATAGCATAAGATGACCTGTATTTATATTGGGCCCATTTAATCTATATGTTATTTAAATCCTTTGTTTCTTTATTTATCTTTTGTCTGGATGTTATATCCATTATTAACAGAAAGGTATGAGATCTCCTACTGTTGTATTACTGTCTGTGTCTCCCTTCAGTTCTGTTTCTCTTGACTCCAGTAGAGACTTTATGGCAGTTATTTTTAACTCTCTGTCATGGAAATCTTATAACTCCATTTTATTCAGATTGTTGTCTGAAGATTTACATTATTCTTTCGTGTGGAGCATCTTTGTCTCATTCTTCATTTTCCTTGACTCTCTTCCATAGCTGTTTATGTATTAAACAAAGCAAGCACCTCATAGTCTTTGAGAAGTGTCCTTATAAAGAACACTTCCACTAACCAGCATGACCAGAGAATCTATCAATTCTTTCTCTTCCCAATGGAAGCTAAGAGATGTGAATTTATTCTCCTTGGTCTGTGAAAAACAGGGAGTGAACTATTGTTTCCAGTAGTCCAAAATTCCATCTCATTCTCCCCAGACAGTTAGACTTTGCTAGACCCATCAGAGGTTCAAGACTATTAAGAAACATGCTAGTTCTTTTGGCAGCCCCAGAGAAATATGGATGATATATGACATTTAGATCTATGGTGTCTAGCTCTAGATCAAAGTCTATGACAATCTATCTGCGCAAGCCACTGTCTCTGTTTTCACCCAAGTAGCTAGACTATGCCAGACATGCAGAGCTTGAGGACTGGTAAGGGAGATAGTATGTCTTTGGACAACCTCAGAGAACTTGAGGCAATGAACATATGGATGGATCAACCCTTTCTTTCCAGGGGCAGGCTGAGAACTGGAACTTTTCATCTGCTCACTCTGTTCTGAATAGGGGAGGATTTATGGCACCTACTAGCCCAAACTATCATCTCTGTTCTTTGCTGGGTCACTCAATTACAGCAGACCCATCAGAACTCCATGACTGATATAACAAAAGCCATTTATCCAGGGAGGCCTCTTGGAAAAATTTGTGTGCTACAAATGTGAGTCAACCCCTTTTCTCCCCCAAGTGAAAATGAAGCTAGGGGTTTCTTCCAGACTATATAACACCATGCCTGGAAGATAATAAATAATACTTTTAAGCCACTAGGTTTGGGGGTTGTTTTGCAGCATTACGTATTGAAACATGAAAGGGAAAGGACATCATCATACTTTGACCCAAGTATGATTACCCTGTGGCAATAGCTGCAATCCTCAACCTGTTTACTTTCTTCTACTCTAGACAAAAAAGAAAAATTTAAATTTCGCTTTCCTACATCCCTCATTTTTCAAGGCAGTTACTTAAATGCTCCAAATGGGATAACTACCACAAAGTGCTATCCTATTGCTTTTGGCATGATAGACTTCTAAAGGATTTCCTTTGCCCATACAGATAGAATTTTCCATGTTTCACAAAACCAAAATGATCATGGGATTCTCCACTCCCATTCTCCCTTTTCCTTGGCCTCTCACCTCTGCATCTGTCTTAGTGTCCTCTTGCTACTATAGCAAACAGCCACAAACTTAACAGCTTAAAGCAAAAATCCATGAATTACTTCATAGTTTTATGAGTCAGAAGTCTGGGGAACGTCAATTTGGCCTTTTGTTTAAGAGATAATAACATCAAATTTAAGTTAACTCTTGTCTAAAGGTTCTGGTGGAAAATCTATTTCCAAATACATTCAATTGTTTTAAAATCCAGTTCCCTGTATCTCAGGTGCCTGTTTTCTTGTTCTCTGTCAGTGAGGGAACTCTCTCTGCTCCTAAAGTCTACCACATTTGTTCTTATACAGTCTCCTCTATCTTCAAAGTCAGAAATAATATATGGAGTCCTCTGACACTCTAATCTCTCTGACCCTTCTATGCCCACAGACCATCAAGAATCAACTTGTTCCTTATCCTTCCTTGCAGTCTCCTGTGAATATTCTGTCCTGGGTTTATTTATTTTCTTTTATTGTTGTTTAGAGACATGGACGATAACATAGTCAGGATTAGGATGGCCTTGAAATCACAGTCCTCCTGCCTTTACTTCCTGAGTACTGTGATTACTGGCACATACCACCACGCCCAGCCTGACCTGAGTTTCTTAGTTAAATATTGACTGAATCATCATCACCATTATGAAAATGATATTATTGCATTAATACTACAAAAGGTAATATTAAAACTACTAATTGGAAATTAATAAATATGTTGAGCACTTAAACAGAAACATGCCAGAAACTTTGTCTATCACTTTATATTCTTTATTTGTAGCTTTCAACTCTGACAACATTCATGAATGGTGAGGAAACTAGGGCTCCTAAGGGTCAAATAACACAAATAACTCATGTAGGTCACTCTGGCATCTGAGCAAAAAAGTATATACATTTTTAGAAACCAGGATTTGCTGGAGACTGTTACAGAGTTCCACCAGAGTGGGATCCAGAGATACCCACTGACCTCCTGTACTGTATCAAGCATCTCTCACAATAATCTCTTCCATGCTTCACTATCTCTGCCCTGTCCACCCAAAAGAGACTCTTTTTTTTTTGGTGGTACTGGAGTTTGAACTCTAGGCCTTGTGCTTGCTCAGCAGGTATTCTACAACTTAAACCATGTCCCCAGTGCTTTTTGCTTTAGTTGTTTTTCAAATAGAGTCTTGTTATTATGCCCACGTTAGCTGGGACCGCTGTCCTCCTATTTACACTTTCTGGGTAGCTAGGATGACAGCCATGCATCGCCATACCCACTTTTGTTTGTTAAAGAGCTGGGATCTCATGAACTTTTTTCCCGGGATGTCCTTGATCCATGATCTTCCTGATCTCAGAGTATCTAGAGTTACAGGCATGAGCTATCACACCAACTTCAAATTAAAACTTCTAAATTCGCATTTGCCAAGTTGGATTAATACATGCAGCAAAGCTATGAAGAAGTCTAAATCCAAAAGCCTCTCTTATCCCTGCAATGTTCAATAGAGAATCTCTTTTCTAAACACCTGTGCAAACCAGAGTGACTTTCCAAAGTTATCAGTCTCTCCAATTAAAGCTCTCCAAAGGCAATCCATCTGCAGGTTAAGTCCAAGGCTTTCCTATGCCGACCCTGTGCTGTTGTTCGTCTTCTGCCATTTCCTATCTGTTGCTTTATCATCTAGCTATAGCTAACATTCATTAGTTTCTTAATGTTATGATACTGTCACAGGGCAGGCCCACCACTCAACATGGCATTTTCTTGCCTGGAATGGCTTCCTCCACTTCACACTTTTAAATTTAATTCCTATTTAGTTTTCAAGATTAGGTCAGGTATCATTTTCAGGAAGATGTCCCTAATTATCAGAAATCTGCTTGACTAGACAGCCTTTCTCTGCACTAACCACAGAACTCTGAGCTCAACTATTTCTGCATTTGTCTAAATTTTCCATGTGCTCTTGAGCACATCAAAACCAGAAACTCCTTTTTTCATCTTAATATACCAATCAGCTTCCATTTATAGTGCTTTTGAAGGCTGATTTTATATTTTTTATAAAATGTTTATATTTTTATTTTTGTAAAATATTGCTAGTCTCTTAAGACATGTAATCTACCATTAAATGAATTGTGTACATAGTAATCAGTCTTGCCCTGTGTCACCATGCTCCCTAAACATGTCTGCATTTCATACACACATTCTAGTAGCCAACATGTCTCTTCCAACAATAAACAAAAATACCAAATAATTTCCACTGTTATAATTATGTTAATATGTAAACTTCAGAGCTATTCTGTCTTCACTGCTGGGAGATCCAGAAAAGTTATTACATAATCCACTAAAAACTGATTCATACCATTTGTTTAGCTTTCTTGTATTTCTGTTAGAAGAAAATAATTCATTGTTTTTAAGCCAAAATGTGTTCATTTTTGGTTTTCAGGTTGGACAAGTCCATTGAAAGTTCCACCTTTACCACCTCATCACGAAGGATGCTCAATAAATCATGCATATACTTTTGATGAGAGTGCAGCACGTACAGTAAGATTTTCTTCCTAGATAGTATTATACAGTAGTTACTGTTAATTTTATGGTCTGTGTATTTGATGACTTATTCCCCAGAAAAATAGCTACTACTTGTAGAATGCTTCTCATATTCCAAGCATTGTGTAGACCTTTGCAAATCCTTAGATTCTATTCTTTCTCTTGCACCATCACTATAATACTAACAGGGAGGAGTGAAGAGTAGATGCTGGTGGGGCCCAACCCAGACCCCGTCTGCTGGCAAGTATGCCTGTCCACTGTCACAGTAAGTGATGACTGTTAAAAGGCCGTCAGCCACCAGTAGGAGGATTGCACTCTCCCACACTGCCTGCCTCAAATTTTGAGATGACATATTTTATTCTTACTCTTACTTGTGGCAGTACTGGGCTTTGGACTTAGGACCTTGTGCCTGTTATGCATGTGGTCCAACACTTGATCCGTACACTCAGCACCCTGCCTCAGATTGTGACCAAAGACTGATTGACATCCCCAAAGAGTCTCAGCCAAAACTGACCTCACAAGCTTTTCTTCCTCTTCCTTGTCCTTGTCCTGTCTTTCTCCCCCCACTCCCTTTCACCTGAGGGCACTTGCACAGTGTATCACATGAGCTGCAACCCTGTCTCAGCCTCAGCTCCTAAACAAAGCAGCCCTGAGAATCCTGTAGTATTTGAGAAAGCTGAAGCCCACTGATGTTAGTTAAGTAAATCACTTTGGCTCAGATATATGGTACATATAAAGCCAAAATTTAAGTCTAGATATTTTCTGAATTTAAGGATTATATCCTTAATCATTTTCCTGCATAGATTTTACAGTTTCTAGACCCATTATGTTTAAACTAGGACACCTGAAGATTCCTAGAAGATGCAGAGACATAGAAAGTTGTTTTAAAAAACAGCTTTCTTGAGATAGAGTTCACATACCATAAAACTCACCTGTTTAAAGTGATTTTTGAATGACCTCTGAGTTGTCAAACCATCTCCATATGCTAGTTTTAGAACATTTTCATCACCCTCAAAAGACACCATATATCCTCTAGTACATTTTAGAGAATCAATTTCCATTTCTGAAATTCCTATGTACTCCTTCCAAAACTGATCTGAGAATTTACCTGCACTTATAGTGTCATGTTGATTTCTTCCTTAACCACCTCTCCCTTCACAACTACCACAAAGGGGAAACGAGGCACACCTCACACATAGCAGCACTTGTAGCACAGTACATCATCAGGAAACACAGCATGGGGTTGAGATGCCATTGAGTAGTGTCATCCATGCCTCCTTTACTTAGGATGCCGTGCAGCCATGACAGGACTTCATGTTTGTTTTCCTTGTCTTAATCATTTTTTCTTTTGTAAATGAGAATAACTTGACTCATTTGGAACTACTGTGAATTCACATAAACTACATGATATGATTGCAAAGAAAATTAAGATTTGCATTTGTTATTTTCTCTTACTCCATCTCCACACTCATTGACCACTCATTGCTCCTGTAGATAATTTATATGACAGCAAGTCAAAGTAAACATAAAATATTGAAACCATCGGTGCCCTTTTTTCATCTAAGTTACAAATTCATGACAAGACACTATTCTAGCTACTTTAGAATTAGAATCCTGAACTAGAAGTTTCTCATGGGACTGTTTGTTGGTATATTTATTTAAATTTGAAGTAAGTTTAAAGTTTATTTAAATTTAAAATAAGTTTAATTAATGACAGAAAATAAATCTAGACATTTTACTTCCATTATTGGAAACTTAGTAACATGTATCAATACTTTCAATGGCAAACAATGAATTAATATTTTTTTCTTAAAGTATCAAAAAGCTCATTACTGGGCCAAAAAGAGGATAGAAATTCTAAAATTTAATCCTAGTATGTGGGCTGCTTCAGCCTTGTGGGAATTTTCTATTTGGGAAGAGGCAACTGAGAAATTGATTTGAACTCTGTGTAGTGTCATATAAGATCAAAAGTGATCCGTAAAAACCACCTACTACTTTGGGCAAAATACTTGAAATTCCACACCCTAGAAACAAGAAAAGACCAAAAAAAAAAAAAAAAGAGCAAAAATCTCTTGAAGACTGCACACTGACTTAGTCAACATAAATCGGAAAACTTCAAGCCCTGAATTAAAATTAAGGTAATCCCAGGTTGCTATCCAAGAACCAGGCAGAGGCATATCAAGTTGTTCTTCAAAAGAAAAAGATGTCTTCCTAAGCCTCAAAATGCTTCCATGAATAATTCTTAAAATATAATGTTCAGCACACAGTAGTCCCCAAACAAATACAATGAATGTTCACAATAAGAATCAACAGAAATGAGAAAAAAACAGAAAAACATACACATTGATCCCAAATACTGAAATATGCATGAAATAGTCAAGGATAAAAAATGACCTCAAAAATTCACTTTTTCACATCATTTGTGGTAATTGTGTTGCTTGGAATCTGTATATTGGTAACCATCTTTTGTTTTGTCCTGTCAAATACAAAGAAATTCAACACTTATGATGCCAATGGAATTAAAAATATCTGTTGTGAATGACATAATATTTTATTAGGGAAAAGATAGTTCTGATTAAATGTCATTAGCAGACCCTAAGAAGCATCTAGAGTTAGAAGTAAGGATCCCCATTGTATCAGATTCCAAGAATGTACAGAGGACAGCAATAAAAAGATACATCAGCAAAAGAACTGATACTAGAAAATGAAGATAATGCTTTTAGGAAATGACGTAGGTGCAAAACATAAATAAAGAAACTGCAATTACATAGCATACAGAAGTAGCAACCTATAAGACTTGTAACTAGGAAGCAGAACAGATGGTATACTAAAGATTATATCATAATATCAATGATATTCCAAGATGATGGTTGACAGGATTGTGAACAACCAGAAAATGAGGAGACATAAATTCAAGGTACTGTTGGAAACAATTTAAGCACAAGTTCAATTCTTCCCTGATGAAGAACAGTATAATGGATAGGTTTCAGTTTTTGTGGTCTCCTATTGATACAAGGCATAGACAATTGCAATTTTGTAATTTCCGCATGCTGACTTAATGTGCTGCATATAGGAGTCCCCATAGACAGTGATAATTTGCAGTAATGATATGTATCCTGACATTTTCTGCCAGCAATTTCTGTATTTATTTTAAATGTACTGATTAAAAAAACATAAATTTTGAGATACTTGTAACATTAGCTAGTTAATTAGGAAAACATTTTGAAAGTTTAAAATGGCCATAACTAATTTAAAATATGTTTCAAAATACAGGCAGTGGGTTGTAAAATATCTCACAGTATATAAACAAAATATGTGGAGTGATGGATAGTGCAAAATAGTACCTTTCCAACAAAATGTCATATCACAGCTGCAGTCAGTAGGCATTTGTTTAAATTATTGGTGCTTAAGTTCAAGCTTGTATTGCCATTGGCAAGACCTTCCATTCTTAGCTTTAGTATCATTCTGCTTTTATAAGATACCCAATAAGACCTCTGCATTGAGATTGACTTACAATGTATAAAAAGTAGCCACATCCTTCCAGTCCACAATGTAGGAACCATTCGAATCCTTACACTGAGTGGTTTTCCTAAGATTTGTCTGTTTAAGGCTCAGAAATAGTTTTGAGCCTTTGAAATAGTTGAAAGTTGTTATGTTTTCTAAAAAAGATATATCTTCATCATGAAATAATAATTAAGCTTAAAGACCAATGAATGCTTTCCTTTGTGTCATGGGTAGGATTCAATCACATTAATATTGTCTTATAAGCAAGATGATGATTTTTTGTTATTAGGGTCAACATCAAAGAGATTTTGTATTTTACCATTTATGCTTCAGATTGTGATTTGATCATTTCTGCATGCTGACTCAAACTGTTGCATAACTCCAAAAAGTAAGCTGATAAGAAAAGCTATAATTTTTCTGAAGTAGTAATCTTGCTGATGCAGCATTGATATTGCTCATATGACATCTACTGTCATTCAGTAGAATAACATTGATTCATATTGTGAATTCTAAAACACTATTTCCTGTATGAAGTAATATTTCAAGAAAACCTTAGAAGTAACCTAGAATTTATAAATGAAAAATAAGTTTTTCTCAATTTTTGGTATACAGTCATTTATAAATTCTGGAAATTGAAGATCAGTTATATTATAGTCAATTTAAATATATTTCCAGATATCTGAATAAGTGAATTTTTGACAAAATTGGGGTTTGAACTGAGGGCCTTGTGCTTGCTAGGCTGGGACACTGCCACTTGAGCCATGCCCCTAACCCTTGTGTGCTTTAGTTATTTTTCTTTTTTTTTCATATTTTATTTATTTACTTATTTATTTTTAAATTTAATTTTTTTATTCATATGTGCATACAATGTTTGGGTCATTTTTTCCCCCCTTCTTCCACCCCCTCCCTCCCTAACTGCCCCACCCCCCTTCTCCCCCCCATCCCCTCGCTAACCGGCAGAAACTGTTTTCCCCTTATCTCTAATTTTGTTGAAGAGAGAGTATAAGCAATAATAGGAAGGACCAAGGGTTTTTGCTAGTTGAGATAAGGATAGCTACACAGGGAGTTGACTCGCATTGATTTCCTGTGCATGTGTGTTACCTTCTAGGTTAATTCTTCTTGATCTAACCTTTTCTCTAGTTCCTGGTCCCCTTCTACTATTGGCCTCAGTTGCTTTAAAGTATCTGCTTTAGTTTCTCTGCATTGAAGGCAACAAATGCTATCTAGTTTTTTAGGTGTCTTACCTATCCTCACCCCTCCCTTGTGTGCTCTTGCTTTTATCATGTGCTCATAGTCCAATCCCCTGGCTGGCTGTAGGTTTATCATATATAGCTTTTATGATGTTGAGATACTTTCCTTCCATTCCTAGTTTTCTTAGAGCTTTTATCATGAAATGGTGTTGGATCTTATCAAAGGCTTTTTCTGCATCTATTGAGATGATCAAGTGTTTTTTGTCTTTGCTTCTGTTAATGTGGTTTATTACGTTTATTGAT